CATTTTCCCTTCCTCTCCTACGCACACCCCATTATCATCCTGTGCATCTCTCCGCGCCTCACTTTTGTTCTCCTCACTTCTTGTTACTCACCCGTTCGTCCTCTGCCCTGCACGCCTGTCTCGCAGTGATCTTTCGGACAACCAGCTGTCAGGGAGCATCCCTGCGAGCTTGAGTGGACTCACTCAATTGGCAATCATGTGAGCTGCACTCACACCATTCTGCATGAGTATCCGTCAGACATCACAGCCCGGTTTGTGGGACCCTGTTTGTGGGACCCTGCACTCTTGTCACATTGGATCTGGACAGCTGTGTGATTGAGTGTACAGTTGGATTGGAAAATGCTGGCCTTGGTATTCTACCAAACCCATTTAAGATCAAGATCTTAAAATCAAAACCAGTCGGGGTAAATAATGTCTTCATGCCCACACAACACATCAAGCACACGGAACTCTACCTGCTCCAACATGAATTTCCTATACATGCCTTAGAATGGGGTGCCGAGCCAGAGGGCCTGCCCTATCCGATGCTGCTTCACAGTGAGGCTGCTCCTCCAGAGCGACTCCTTCCTGCTCAGTGGTGGTTTGTAGGGTCCTTATTCTCCGTCCTGCTTTAATGCTTCATTTTGTCCCGGCTGTTTCAACCCCACCCACCCATGCTCTCATTCAGAAACCTTTCTAACAACCAGCTTTCAGACAGCATTCCTGCTAGCTTGAGTGCTCTCACCAAATTGTTCTACCTGTGAGATACAACACCTGGTGGTTTACTTACTTTGGTTTATGTGTACCAGTTCAGCGCTACATGAATGTGCGGTCTGTGCATCCCAGAAGTGAAGTGATCCACCATGCGTTTGAAACAGGAATTGTATGTGTCCTAGTTCAATCTGAATCTCCTATCTTGCACCATTTTCACCTGACGCAACAACAGTAGTTTCCGTTCCCGTATGCACGTGACGCGTGCATGCACCAGTCTTTGTCTCGGGTGCCTCCATGTGCATGTGTGCATCCATGCCTCTGAGGGCTCTAACCTTCCTTTGGCATTCTGCGCTGTCTGCCCTTTTCTTTCTCAGATCGTTATCTACGAACCAGCTCACCAGCTCTATCCCAGCTGAAATTGGCTCCCTGGGGTCACTGACAGTTCTGTAAGACTCCTCGCCTTCATTATTTGCTTCCTTCTCACTGGAGTCTCCCTTCTATCGTGCCCTCATTCGTCCCCTCACTCGTCGTATAATGTGCTGCCATGCCTCATGCTTCTATGCTTCGTACCACTGTTGGGTTTTCTTTTTCACTTCTGCCATCCCATTCGTTACATAGAGACCCTTGAATCAATCAGCTTCAAGGCAACATACCTCTTCAGTGCTCTCACTCATATTGTAGCTTTGTCATCGCACACCTCTGAACTCCTTGAGAGTGTGTTTCAGAGGAAATCCGATGAACACGTGTGTTGTGTCTCAGGAACACGTAAAACATTAGCAACGCTGTCGTTTACTGAACAACTTTTCACAGCCGTTCTCACACACACTGCTTGCCAGGCTGTTAACAGCAATTACATTCGGTTCGATGCCTGCTGTACTCACTTTGAACTCATGAGGCCATGGTAATCAATGGGTCTTATTGCTTTCAATTACATCATGGCCGTTATTTCTAGTGACCAATAGCAATAAGTGGGCCGTTTGTTTTGTGTTTACCAACTTCACCCTTGTACAACCACAGGTATCTATACAGAAATCAACTTAACGGCTCTATCCCTGCCACCATTGGCAGCCTGACATCTCTGGCCTCCGTGTAAGGCCTCGCCTCTTCCTTCTTTTCTCCCCTCTCCCCTTGCACTGCCTGGCGTCCTCCAGTTTCGTATCAATCCAATTGAAAAGCAGCATCCTTCTCTGAGCCTGTTTCTTTGGATTATGCTGTCTGTGTGCCAGGATCGCACTCCCACTCAAGCAAGTGTCTTGCTTGCACCTCACTTTGCACACACTCCGAGTCAGCCTGGCCTTTCGGCTGGTGGCTAGAGACCTAAACCTGGGCCACAGTTGGGGCACAAGGACTCATGTGTATTCATAGCACAACTGGCTAAGGATTTTGCACTCAAAGAGTTTTCCGTGTCTTGCTCTCATCTCATTTCGTGTACCCCCCCCATACTTCCTTTGCTGTCAATGTCAACAGGTATCTCTACTCGAACATGCTGTCAGGGTCGCTGCCGTCCTCAATAACGAAACTTACAGCGCTCACCAGTTTGTAAGCCTAACTGCCCCTTGCCGGGCTAAGCATGCTCTTCTACTGTCTGTCTAGTGTTTTTAAGAATCCACGTTGGAACTTGGTAGTACCATCAAGTCTGAGCATCTGGATCATGTCACCGCCGGGTCGGGTCTACACTCCCTTGTCTTCACTATCTCCCTAGCATCCGCAAGGCCTGCAACATTACTAGTTGAGTCTGTGCATCTAAATTCTTGTCCCAAGCAAACACAATTGCTGCTTCCCCATCGCTTCTCAGCTCTGGCGCCCGTCACTTGCTTTGCCAGTTGGTCCCGTCCCCCCTCCTCACGTTGCCTCTAACAACAGCCCGGCTGCACCTTACTCTTATTTTTTTTGGGGGGGGGTGGGTGTAGCGAGGGGATCCAAGTAGCCGAGACGTGAGTAAGGTGGAAATACGTTGGGACAAATTCGTAGAGCGATTGGCTTTCGAAACGTGGTGGCAAGTGCAATCAAGGGCATCAATTCTAGTAATGCCCACAGTACGCATCAAGGCAGTGAAGGACGGAGCTATGCGCATGTGTTTGGTAACTTGGCAAAGAGGACCTACGGAGGCAGGAAAAAGCATTAAGGAAGAACATGGAAAAAAAGAAGAGGGGAGACAGAGAATGGGACCATTTCCAACATCTGCATACTTGCCGCCTGACCTGACTCAACTGAACATGTACTCCAATTACCCTTTTTTCTCCTCAGGGTTCTGGACAACAATCAGCTCACTGGCTCTATTCCATCCGGCATAAGCTTCCTCTCAAGACTAGCAGTACTGTAAAGCACTTCCTTTCTTCATCAAATACTTTTCCTCCTCTTGCCCCTGTCCTCAATACCCTCTTCCCCTTTCGTCTCAATCCCACACTTCTCTCTGTTTCATCACCATCACTTAGAGAAAACAGATATGAACGTTTTCGTGCCACTTTCTTGGACTATCCCTCTCCCTGTGGACCCAAATTCTTATCAACAATCAGATCGCTGTCTCGCAACCAGCTTTATGGACTCATCCCTGAATCCATCGGCTCCCTCACCAAGTTATCCATCATGTACGTAGTGCCCAGCAACTTAGCTGCAATATGAAGCATTTAGGTAGGTACTTCCACTGCCCACCCACTCGGTCAATGCAGTTTTCAGCAGAGCGTCTCTCCGTGTTCTGATGCTGATAGGTTTGCTTGTCACAGAGATGATTCTTTCTCACCTGCCCGCCACACCATAATCTCCTCCTGACTCCATCAACAGCTCACATGCTTACTTTCACTCTAAATGCCAACAGCTGCCGGCCTCACATGGCTCCAAGCGTTCTCAATTTTGCAAATTTGTGTTTTTCCCCTTGTCTCTCCACCACCACACGGGCATTAGGTCTCTTGCCTCAAACAAGCTGTACGGCCGCATACCTGTCAGCTTTTCCAAGCTCACACACCTCACCTTTCTGTAAGCCACTACACCACTCTTTGCACCGTAAGCCTCCTCATCAGTACTTCTGCACCAGATACTTCAGTGTAGTTACTACTGTCAGCGTCTGGCACAATGATTAGTTTGTTGCAAGCCATGGGCTTCTGTGACTTCGATTCAATGGGCCATTACTAAACTCCCAGAGATCACGTCTTGACCAATTTGCCTGTTGGCGAGGTGATAATCTGCTTAATTACTTTGCAAAATCTTATCCTCCTCTCTTCCTCTCGAAACATGCATCCCTCACCTGGGTCTATCTTTCACTCGCCTCCCCTCTCCTTCTCCCAGCAACCTCTCAAGCAACTACCTTGCCAGCCCGATTTCGCTGCCCACCATCAGCACCCTGCGTCTCTCCAGCAATTTTCTCTACGGCCCTCTGCCCAGCGGGGCATGCCAGGCTCTCAATTTCAATGGCAACTGCTTCACACTGTCTTCTGGCTGCACTGAGGTTGTGCAGCGGCCCGAAGCAGCATGCAATGCATTCTGTGGCGTCTCCACTGCTGCTGCTGCTGCTGCTCCTTGTGGTAGAAGAGGGGTGTGCGTTCCAGATGAGGTTACCCTAGCCCCAACCTGTTTGTGCGATGCGTGGCTGACGGTAGGGAGCTCCCTGGTCGCAGAAGGGAGGGGTGGGGTAGATGCAGAAGGGGCGGAACATGGCATTGGCACTCTTTCCGCAAGGGATGTGAATGCATGTGCCCTGCCATGTCACTGCATTGCACCCTTCGTCTGATATGTCACTGCACTGGTATTGCTTTCAAGACGCCTCACTTCATCATCATCTGCATTGATTGGGAATTTTTAGATTTTCTCTCATCCATTATAGTAATGCTTGTGTGCCCGGCATGTTTGCAGGCAGCACCAACAGCACCTCAAGCAACACCAACAGTACCTCGGGCATCACCAACAGTACATCGGGCAGCACAAACAGCACCTCGGGCAGCACCAACAGTACCTCGGGCAGCACCAACAGCACCTCGGGCAGCACCAACAGCACCTCAGGCAGCACCAACAGTACCTCAGGCAGCACCAACAGCACCTCGGGCAGCACCAACAGTACCTCGGGCAGCACCAACAGTACCACCTGGGGCAGCACCAACAGTACCTCGGGCAGCACCAACAGTACCACCTCAGGCAGCACCAACAGCACCTCGGGCAGCACCAACAGTACCTCGGGCAGCACCAACAGTACCACCTCGGGCAGCACCAACAGTACCTCGGGCAGCACCAACAGTACCACCTCAGGCAGCACCAACAGTACCTCGGGCAGCACCAACAGTACTTCAGTCTGCTTGTCTATTGTCCCGCCAACAACCATGCTCACCAAGGGGACGCAGAAGGAGACAGGGGGGAAGTTCACCACGGCTCCCGTGCCTCTGTTTGTGTACGGAGCAGGACAGGCGGTGTCGGGGTGTGGAGTGCAGCTCGCCTTCCAGGCCAACTTCACCTTCTCCCTCGCCCCTCAATCCGGCCGTGCTGGAAACAACGGCTTCGCCTTTGTCGTCTCGGCAACGGACCGGGTGGGGAATGGATCTGGTGTGGGGTATGGTGGCATGGACAGCCGCAGCATGGCGGTTGAGTTTGACACAATGCAGGACAAGCAGCATGGGGACATGAGCAGCCCGCACGTGGGGCTGAACATTCAAGGCCAGGTGCAGTCAATAGCTGCTGTGAAGTCGCCGTTTGAGCTGACCAACAGAAAGGCATACACGGCATGGGTGGACTATGAGCCTGGGGAGCCCGGCACCATCCAGGTGTTCCTGGCTGCTACCGAGTTGAAGCCAGAGCAGCCACTATTGGCGAGGAGGCTGGCCCTGTGTGAGGTGCTGCAGGCTGGAGCGGAGCAGCGGGCGTTCTTCTTTGGCTTCGTGGCGTCCACCACTGTGAAGCCGTTCCAGATGCATCTCATCCTCAAGTCAGGAGTTCACACTGGTAAGGGCAGCTCTAATGTCATGGTGGTGGTGGTGGTGGTGGTGATGCTCATCGTGATCATGACAGTGATGCTGATGGTGATGGTGAGGAGGAAGATGAACTGGTGATATGCTCCTTTTCACCATGCTTTGAGTCAGATTAACGAGTTATGGCTGCCATGCCTGTATGTCCTCGTCCTACTCTTCTCTGCAGGCCTTCCAGGTCCACGCAAGCCGGTAGACATCATTCCAGGTGAACAACCCGCTTCTCAGGAAGACATTAATGAGAAACATCTGTCCTTCTTGTCACCTCTCTCCATGAGCGTCATTCAGTCTCTTTCTTCATAACACTCCCTGCTGTTTTGATTGTACAACACATAGCGCACTCTTTTTCTCTGCCTTGCCCTTTTTTTCAGTGATTCGAAAAGAACTCATGGACACATGAGAAAGCACTCACATGCCCTTTCATCTCCCCTTCTTTTCTGCAAACCCACTTTCCCTGCCCAGCCTTTGGTCTGACTCTCTCTGTGGCGTCATATGCGCGAGTGGGAGCCAGTCCCTTTATGCGCTACATGAGTGCGGACTACCGAGTGTTGGCCAACCAGCAGAGTGCATGGCAAGTCTGTGGCTCCTACAACTGGGACTCCATGCCCTTCCTCGGCTGGCCGGTCAAGAACCAGGACGACTGCAGTAAGTGGGCATGATAACATTTCAAAAAAAAAAAAAAAAAAACTGTTCAACAGACTCTATCTCACGGTGGTTCTCTGATGGAAACATGGAACCTGAAAATATGAAAAATTTCTGCAAACATCGAACATCTATTTACACATTATCTGCTTATGAACAGAATCAAGCATGGTCGGTTCAGAACAAACATGTTTGTGTTTGCCATTTATGCTATATAGCTATGCGGTTGGGATTAGATGGATGGGGACAGAAATTTTGGGATATTCCGTACCCTGGCACTCTCTTTGTACCTGTGATTAGCCTTGAAGTGACATCTGAGGCGTTTCAATTCAATCAACCCATGCCTTGCATTTCCCTCTCAACTTGCCTCTTTCAGGTGCGAGTTGGGCGTATGCGGTGGTGGCAAGTGTGGAGGCAGCATATGGCATTGCGCTGAACAGTGAGGCGCCACGGCTGTCAGTGGACTCGCTCTTTGCTGCCATGGGGCTCACCTCCCTCACTGCAAAGTGCATGGCAGGCGGCTCTCCTGCTGCGGCCTTTGAAAGGCTTCTCTCTCTGCCCACTGGTGGACTCACGACAGACAGCAAGCCGGTAGGAAAGACCTTTGAGTGAGAGACCAATGTAAAACAGGAAGCCTGTGCAAGCATAATCGAGTGACCGTACCAAAATGTAGACAGCAGCATAGCAGTATATGCAGGTAGATGTGCGAGCAGTGCCCTTGAGAAAAACGATACACGGGTAGCACAGCAGGTGGACAGAAGCATTGGCTGTGAGGTCAGCAAGTTTGCATTTGAATCAACCCTTGGTTGGTACGCGTGGTATGTATGCAAGATTCGTTTCTTAATAGGCTTTGCTCATCACTTTTGAACCCTTTCCTTTTCCCCCTCCAAATCTGTAGCCCTCTTGCTGGTTGTGGTGTTACGACCACTCATTCGTTTATCTCCCATGATATGCTGTTTGCTCCACAGCCATCGAAGTACCCCATCCAGGGATTTGAGCGCACGAGGTTTAAGGGTCATGTGGGGCTCATGCTGGCAGTGCGGCGACAGCCAGTGGTGGTTCACATTGAAGCCTCTTCTACCTCGTTTGTACAGTATGACGGGGTGAGTACTGATACTCGTATCATGTGGTCATATTGCAAGATTCCTTGTAGGCATTTTGATGGGAAGTCCTTGTCACGCCTGCAGACTCAGGCTATGGCTCAATTCCTCCTCTCTTGAAACCGATAAGACTTCAACTGAAATAGGTGCTCCTATTGATGGCCACATGGAACCGATATAGGTAACCGCATGCTTTCATTGACAGCTTTTGTGTCTACCTTCCCTGTGCTCACCATCTCCTTGTCTCCTCCAGACCTTCAAGTACCAGGATCCTGCCTGCTACACTGGCAACCTGGACCATGCTGTACTCGTTGTTGGGTACCTCCTTTTCACAAATAACGGCCGCCCGAGCCAAACTGCTCCACCGTTTTGGATCATCCGCAACTCGTGGGGATTGGAGTGGGGAGACAGGGGGCACATGCGCATGGGCATTCAGGGAGGGGATGGCGTTTGTGGCATCAACGTGCTGCCTGGCATCTACCCCATTGTCAAGAGTGAGGCATCCACCCAATTGTCAGGAGTGAAGCTTGCACCACGTTGTCACTAGTTTCTGTAAATGCTATGCAGACAGAGACACCTTCACAGTTGTTAACTCGGCCCACTCCATGCTTGTCCCATTCTTCACACGCACTACCTTTCCAGTTCCCAAGGATCCGTGCGGCCAGAAGAGCTACAAGGGCAGTGAGGACGTGCAGCCCAGCATGAACCCGTGTGGTCGCTTCACATGCCAGGCCAACACAAAGACCAACAGCAACACGTGCAACTGCACCATACCGAACGAAACCAAGCAGCCCTTTGTTGAAGTTCCGAATGGGTCTGGCTCCAATACTTGTGCATATGGTGAGTCGTTTTTATGCCTAAACATGTCTCCCTCTGAACAAAACATGAGTCGTTCTCATGCGTATTGCTCTTCCCTTGCGGTACGTGTGGAGATCCTCAAATGCATCCATGGCATGGTGGTTAACGTGAACCTCTTCCATCATAGAAATGTATCTGGTTCATAAGCAATTTAATGATGTCCAGATTGATGGCGGGGCGTCTGCTCCTTCATCTGCCCTCCAAATGCTGGCGGGTTGTCGTTTGAATGCTTTAAATCTCAACGCAGGTGTCCTCCAAACCCCCCCACCCCCCCACCCCCTCTCCCCCCTCTCCCCGCCCTCCATCCTCTCGTTTCCCCCACCATCTATCCCTCCTCTGACACTCATGTCCTCCCTGCTGCAAACCCAACAGTTGATGTGTGTGGTTCCTACTCTAGCAACCCCTGCGCTGTGGGAACATGCATCAATGATGGCAAGGGCGCCTACTCCTGCATCTGCCCTCCCAACTACGTTGCCAGCATAACCGTTGACAACCTCCCCACCTGCGACCCAGGTGCTGTTACATTGCTTTTGTTATATCCGTCTAGATCCACCCTCCTCAGTACTTGATCCATGAACTTCTGCATTCTTTTCACACCTTCTCTTCTCTACCTGCCTCCTTCCTCCTCTCCTTGCTCCAGCCAACACCACGGCCTCCATGTTGACAGTCACTGGCACCAACTGGCTGTGCTCGGATGTCTTCCCTGCGGCCGGCGTCTCCTTGGCTGGCTTTGCATCGCAGAACACGGTGAGAGGGCCAACGAGCAGAACATGGTGAGGGGGCTAAGTCATGGGCGCACTTGCATGGAAACGACAAGTTGAGTAATGGCAACGATACACATTTACAGATAGGCTTGTAGGGTGGGGGTCTTCAAATGTTGCGGCCCTTCTTCTGTTGTATCCACCACCACACTCTATCTCTCATCAGTTCTGCATGTTCTTTCACATGCAGGGCATTAACTGCAGCCAGCCTTTGCCTGCGGGCAAGGTGATTGGGGTGGGAAGCGCCACCCCCTGCACTGCATTCTTCTATGCCCTCAAAGTGAGCCTGTAACAAGGAAGCAGAATATATTACTCTTGCTTGTAGGAAATACCCTTCCTGTCTCCAATTTCCTCTCTTCCCAACCTTCTCACCTTTCTTAAAGGAAGTTTGATCTTTGTCATCTGTAGCTGGAGATGGCTCATTGTCAACATGTATCACCTGCACTAAGTCGTCTTGTCTCCTCCCCCCCCCATTTAACCCTCCAAGGCGACACCTGCTCCTCCATCAGCGTCCAGCTGGGACTCGCATCGACTTACCTTGCTTCTCTCAATCCCGGCCTGGACTGCTTCGAGCCCATCAAGGCGGGCCGCTCTCTCTGCATCGAGCGCAACGCCACCTTCGCCTTCACCGTCCCTCGGTGCTTGCAGTACGGCATGTTCACACCACAGGACACGTGCGAGAGTCTGCTGAGCAAGGACTCCAGTGGGAATAAAAACACAGGATCTGTAATGGTGACTTCAGCCAGCTGGATTGGTCTCTACCGCAACAATCCCGGCCTCATCTGCCCCCGCACCATCCCTGCCTCTAGTGCTACTGATGTCAGCACGCAGGTGAGGGGAGGAAGGTCAATTCCAGAGAATATGGTTGGTTTCAGTTTTATTCTATACTCTAGTCATTGCATTCTGAATTCCGATTGTTTTACCCTTTTGCCTGTCTTGCATCCACCTTGTATCCCAGGTTTGCCTCAAGGCTGACTACGAGTCCATCGATACTAACACCTGCAAGATTGGCAGGCTCAAGGTCGTCTCACCACTGCTCACATGCCAAGGTGCTTTCAGCTTCTTCGGTGGAGCCAAAGCGGGACCAGCTGCAAAATTTACTGAATACAATGGGAAGGCATGCTCCGAGACCGTAGGGGTTAAATCTATTTGTGTGCCGAATTGACTCTTCTAGTATTGGGTAGGTGGGGCCTGAAGTTCCATCATCTCTTGGATATAACACCCCGTTGGACAATAGACTCCCAGGTCTCCAATACAGGGTTAGCTAGAGTGTGCTATACCCCCCCCTTCCCCCCCCCCACCCCCTCCCCTCCCCCCCCCCTCCCTTCCCCCCCCCCCTTTCCCCCCATTAGAAGACATTAGAAGACCCCCCCCTGAACTTGGACAGTAGAGATTTTAGGGCAAATAAATGCATTATCTTGTGTTCTTGTAGCATGAAAAGGGTGCCAACACAGTAAGGTCCATTTAACCCACAGGGTTGATTTTTCATGAATACAGCTATAAGGTGGGGGAGGGAAACACATAATAGTCACTCATCCATGCTTGCCACCCACTCATCCGCTTCCCCCCCTCAAAGCATCCTGGTGCCCACCACTCGTCACCATCATCGCTCTACTCCACCACACCTCCCATTACTTGGTCTGCCGCATCCTCCTCATTTGTAAGGGATGCAGCCTTAGCCCCCTCCTTGTCAGCAGCATCCGACTGATCTGTCTCCCTGGCAAGCTCTGCCATGGCCTGTTTCTCGTTCTCCTCAGTGGCGGCGGGCTCGGGTTGGGGGCGTCTGCGGGGTCTTTGAGGAACAGGTTGGGGAGCGTGCCATCCCCCACCTCATCCTGCACATCCTCCAGCACCTCAACATCCGCCTCCTCGCTCCCATCTTTGGCATTGGAGATGCCGCAGGCGAGGAATGCCTTCCTCACCAGCTCCTCTGGCACATCAGCCCACGACTTCAAGGGGGGGCTTCTTCAAGTTCCCTGGGTTCACAACATGGGGTACCGGTATGGTTGTTAGAGGGTGGACCAGGTTAGCGGAATTGACGGAACCCAAACATCATTTACACACAAAGGGCACGGCCTTGCAACCCCCAATTCCTCAAACCAACTGGCATAGCGGTGGTGAACCTAGCACTTGTAGCTGCGGCTGTTGGAGACGTCAAGCGGTTGCACCAGGGGGGTGCAACTGTCAGGGATGACAGCACATGTATCCTTGAATATATTCATCGTTTGCCCAGAAGCTTCAGTGAGATGCCTCTTGTATGAGTCGAGGACATGGAGCACCTGCTTGCACCGTCCGCCCTCATCCCGCAGCGGCCTTAAGAAAGGGAAAAGCACCTGAGTTGTATCCTGGACGAGGCGCTCGTCTATCCAATGCTTTCTTGGGTGCGTATAAGAGCGTATTCCTATCCTCGTATCAAGAGAACCTCATATCAAGATTCCGTCAGCCCCCGGATAGAAGTGCCCCTGGGGGTATAAAAAAACACTGTTTTTTAGGGGGTGCGCTTATATTTGAGGATTTTTATAAGCGCCGGGGCTTATATAATGACACATATGAAATCTAGTTTTTTTTACACTAACTGGTTCATCTCGTCCTTGCGATTTGAATCGAATCGATATTGTAGAGGGCATTGAAAGTGAATTTCGCGTGAAATGGCAGTGGCTGATTCCCTGCCAACACACACAGTCAGAATGAGTCAGATTGACCCCATGACAGCTCATTCTGACTGGACGCAAAGGTATCGAGTCGCGCTAGGGGGAAGGGTTTCGAAATTCTGAATGTGGGGATGCAATATTGTGTTTCGTTTCATCGTTTTCAGTAAAAATATAAAAACTATTACAGAGGGTGGCGCTTATAATCTGTAAGCCTTCAGGGGTGCGCTTATAATCGAGGACCAGATATAAGCGCCCTCATCCTTTTATAAGCGCCGGCGCTTATCCGAGGCCTGCGCTTCCATCCGGGGGCTTACGGTTGTACCTTTTGCCTGGTAAAACTAGCGAGAGGTTTTGGGTTAAGGGGAATTTTTAGTGGGAGGTTGATATGAGGTTCTCTTGATACGAGGATAGGAATACGCTCTAACTACACCTGCACAGGCCACACAAGGAATGAGTAAGGACGTGTCATGTGCAAGTAAAAAGTTGATCAACATTGACAATGAAGGCTCACCTGGTGGAACCACCATCCGTGGCACCATCTTCCGTGTGAAGATGCATGGTGTGGGCACCTTTCATTTCAGCACCTGCACAGGCCACACGCGGAATGAGTAAAGACATGTCATGTACCCCGCTGTCCTCAAATGCATGGTTCAGGCACCTTTCATTTCGACATCTGCACAGGCCACATACGGAATGAGTAAAGACATGTCGTGTGGCAGTAGATAGTTGATAAACATGGACACTGTTGGCTCACCTGGTGGCACCATGATCCGTGGCACCGTCTTCCGTTTGTAGATGACGTATGGCGGGAGCTTGAGGCTGCCAGCCATCACTACCACATCATTGTACTCCGCTGTCCTGACATGCACGATGCGGGCACCTTTCATTTCAATGGTTCTCCGCCAGCATCTGAAGGAAGAGTGGTGTCTATTTGGCATTCACAACCAGATTATCTGGAAATCGATGAAAGCACTCGCATATGACAAGAACAATTCCAAATGGATTCAGCCTTCAGCTTGCAATCTGTTGCAAACAACACGGCACAGTCATTAGCGATTGTCAGGGCAACATTTAGGGCACGGAGGGATGAAAAAATGCTTGCTTACCGGCAGCTAGTTTCTGCCCCATCTTTGTCTGCACGCTTGCCCAGTGCATGCAGAAGCAAAAGGTCCAACACGCATTTGCGCAAAGATTGGCAATAGGCTGGTGGTGGTTTGTACACTGCATTGGCCAACTTGCGCAGCATGCACACCAAAAACTCTAATCCCTTGGCGCGG